CCTTTCGTTCCATCACGGTCACTGGCTTTGACTCTATACTGTTAATGATTGCATTCAACATCATTATTCAAACAAATTAATATTTGATAATCTTTCACTTTGGTTTTTTCTTTTTTCATTTATTTATTAATTACACAATCACACACACACACACACACCACACACCCAAGTATATAAATGAATGTAAATCGTTAATTGTTTTTTTTTTCTTTGTGTGTTTGTGATGTTCCCGATTGTGTTAATTAATTTTCTTTACTTTATGTGTCTGATGTGCTTTTATTATGAAAACGACAAATTATTTCAAATTATATGACGTCTCCATACATAACACTTTCATAGTTTACATTTGTTGTTGTTTTTTTTCTCGCTACCGTCACATCCAATATAACCCTTTTGTCTGTTTCTTTTTAGTGTGTATGTGTGAAAAAGAATTAAAAGCTAGCGGGCTTTTTTGATTAATTATGTATATGATGATGATGGTACATTGCGAGAAAAGAAGCGTTGATTTAATCCTTTTGTGAATGTCTTTTGCTTACCCAAAAGGAATTCCTTTATGTGTGTGGTATGTGATGTTTCTGAAACAACAACAACAACAACAACAAAAAGTAATTTACATGTTCAACATTTGAATATAATGAATGAATGAAGCCAGCCACACATTAAAGTCGATATTCATTCATTAATTCTTTCATTTTGAAGCCAACCAGGTTTCCGAAAACTTTTCCATTCATTCATTCATTCATTCATCATCATTTATAAACAAAATGGACTGCAGATGAGGATGATTTCCCAGCTGAATAGAATAGAATACGGTACTATATGTTAGTTCGGGAATTAGTCCTTAGATCATTGTATTGTATGTGTGTGTGTGTTTGTGTTTTTGGGTATCTCTAATAGTGTATGTAAAATAATAATAATCCTAAATCCTTTTTCTTTCTTTCTTGCACAGGCAACGAAAAAAAAACCAATTTCCGATTTTCAAAGTTTCATCAGGTTTATGTTCGTTGAGAATAGAATTTCACATTGATTTTTAAACATCATTGTCATCATCATCATCATCATCATCAACATCATCATTCATGCGTTTCTAAATCTTTTTTTTTCACAATTCATTCACAATCATTTTTGAATCACCAAATTGATGTTGAATGAATAAGATTTCTGTTTGTGTTTGAGATTCTTTGTATCATACAATGGTTGCCAACTTATATATATATATATTGTATATTTGGATTTTCAATTAAATGTGTCTGTATGTTTCTATCTGTTCTGTTTCATTGTTTGTTTGACCATTTAATCCGCTTGGCAACCAACTTTTTTTGTTCACAAACACTTATTTTATGTGAGAATATATATAATAACTTTAATGTTATAAATGTGTTCTGTGTGACCTCGTTAAATTTCAAAGCTTTCGGTTGGATAGAAAGAAAGAAGATAAAACTTAAAGATAACAGTTTTAAATAAGAAAAATTTTCCAGAATGTTTTTTTTTGGACATTTCTTTCTCTTTAGATTTTTTTTCCAATTAAGAATTTAATAGAATTGTTTGAAGAATCTTTCGAAAAAAAATCCTAGGTTTTGTCTAGTTTCTTTGCATTTCTGCTGCTGTTTGTTCGACTAATTTGAATTCATTTCAATTTGATAATTATCATCATCATCATGATAATGATGACAATGTTTTTTTTTTTTGCTACAGCCTTTTAATTCTATTGCTATTCTAATGGGACCAATTACTAATGATTACCATTTACAGAGAATTTGCTGAAAAAAAAACCAATTGTTTCAAATCTAAATCAAATTCCATATAGCATCATTGATCAAATGATGATGAGATCTAAAAAAATCAACTCAACGTTAGAAGTTAAGCTTTTATTTATATATATTATGTACAGGATATACGTAAAATACGTTTTTGCCTCTGTGTGTGTGTGTCTGTGTGTGCGTTATCTTTGTTTTTTAGCATTGAATTAACTGGCCAATTTTTTCCACTTCCAGTATTATTCTGGCCATTCAACAATGGTGGATGGAATAGAAATAGAGCGATATTAAATTGAATTAAATTTAATTTTCTCTCCTTCAATTTTCATTGCATTCAATTTTCATATATACCAATAAAACCAGATAATATTTAATTACGACACACTCACGTTATCGTTATCGTCGTCGTCCTCGTTTGGTGTGTAGTATTATGATGATGTCCATTTTATCGTAAAAATGAGCTGATTCCAAAAATATTATGAGCATTTTTTTTCTCTTCTGATCATCGTCGCCGTTGGTAGTTCATAATATTCATTTCATTGTTGGAATTCCCAAAAGATTTAAGTCCATTCAATGAAATGTAGTGTGTGTGTGTGTGTGTGTGTGCTGCGTTTGTTATATGATGGCACCCTTTGAGAATCAGGTTATAATGTTTTCAAGTGGCTTGACTTTTGTGAATCTTTTTTTTTCTCGAAAGAGAGAGAGAGAGAGAGAGAGAGAGAGAGAGAGAGAGAGAGAGAATGAGATAGTGGAAGTTAGAGGATCGAAAAAATTTTGTTACAAATTTAAATTTAACATTTCATTGAAAATGGAGCAATTTTTTTTTTCGTTTGCTGCTTGGTTTGATTGTTTGTTTGGATCGAACAAAGAAAAAAGAAGAGAGAAGGTTAGCACTCCCTTGGATGAAAAAAAAAATTAAATTAAATCTTTCCTCCAATTCAAAGATGCTCCGCAAAAAAAATCCTCATAGCTCATTAAGATCAGCAGCAACAAAAAGTCAAATCAATTCATTGATTTCAATTCTTTTTAATGTTTCTTGTTTTTTTTCTATTTTGACAAATTTGAATACAATTTTTCAATCACTTTGTTTGTTTGTTTGTCATATTCTATATACATTCAAAGCAAATTATTTTTTTTTCTCTCTCTCTCTCTCTCTATTTTCACGATTCAATTGATGCTTATGGTAAATAATAATAACGATTATTATTATGAAGCTTTCACATGGAATGTATGTGGATCCATATAGATAAGAGTTAAATACCAACAACAACAACAACAACAAAAACAAGTAGCTATAGTTGATCTATATGAATATAGAAGAAAAAAATGAATCAGTATTAAAATCCATCCATTGTATTTTAGGCTTTTATGTTGTGCTTCTGTATCTAGTGTAGCAGTGTTTTTTTTTTTCGATTATATTGATTACATTTTTTTTTTTTTTTCATTACTTCAAATCTCAGTCAAAGACGTTTTTTCTTTACTATTTTTGGGTTGAAATTTTTTGCTTTTGCTTTCTGTTGTGCAGAAGAGCTGTTTTTCATTTTCAAGCTTCTGCATCAATTTTTTTCCTCATTGTTTTCTGAACAAATGACGACGACGACGACGACGATGATGATGATGATGAAATATTCAATTTGTTTCACTGAGAAAAAAAAGCAGTAGTATACTAACAAACAATCTGTTTTTGTTTGACTTTTCCTGGTTATCTTGTTTGAGTTTTTGTTTTGTTATTTTTTTTCTGGCAAACAAAAAAATACACTGCAGTTTTATTTTTTTCTGTTTTATTCAACATGAAAAAGAATCAATAAATTTTCAATTTACATACTTTAAGCATGTGTGTGTGTGTGTATGCGAACATTTGTGTTGAATTTTATCTATTTTTTCAGAATTTTTTTTCAAAAACTTTTAGTTTTTCCGTTTCAAAAAAAAATGAAATTCTTTGTTAGTTGCTGATTTTGGATTTTATTTTTATGACTGAAATTTTTTTTTCTCTTGATTCAAATTCAATTTTCACGATTATTTATGTATATATGTGTGTGTGTGTGCCTGGGTGAGCCTGATGGCCATTTACATTTACATTTACACGGTTATTTTTGACTTTTTCTTGAACTGTCAAAATTTTGTTGATATCTGGGCTATGAACCGGATTTAGAATATCATCATCATCATCATCATTATCATTAACCCGTTATGTGGTTATAAAGGTGGATGATGTATACCCGTGAGGTTATTTTTATTTTATCAATTTTTGTTTATTTTCTATTTATTTATTTATTTTTTTTTCTTTCTTTATTGATTCAACTATATTTATAGCTATATAAATCGTTACTGTCGTCTATGGATTTTTCCAAGGAATGTTGATAATGAATTCAATAATAATCGATGATGATGATAACGATGAACGAAGAAATTTAAATAGATATCGAAATCATGGACAACATCAATCTGATGATGATGATGATGATAATGCAATGTCCATTTGTTATTGCCCATCATCATCAATGGCCAAATATCATCAACAACGTTACAATCAATCATCATCATTATTATGGCCAAAAAGTGTGAGATCAACAACAGCACCAACAACAATAATGATCAGACCATATAATGATAATGACAACAACAACAACAACAACAAATGGAACAAGATGAACTATGATGATGATGATGATGAATGGATAACCAAATATATAGCAACAACAATCAGATGTCAAAGTGTTAAACAACAAAAACATATAAATTGCATATTATTATACCGGATGATCATGTCATCATCATCATTGTTATTTCATATGAAATCCTGCATATCATTATTCTATATGATAATGATAACGATGTCTATGATGATGATGGCCATGGCTAATAATAATAATACTGATACTGATACTGATAATCATCCAATATCATCACCATCAACGATGATGATGATGGATCTAGCATCATTGTCTTCCAATCGAACTAATGTTCGACCATTATCATTACCATTACAATCATCATCATCATCATCGGTATCAACAACAGAATATTTTTATGCTCAAGATAAATTATCTGATGCTCAGGTTGAACAATTTCTTATGGCATTGAATCAAAATATAACCAATACTGCTTCTACTGGAACTTCTGCTGCTACTGCTGTTTCTAATAATAATCGAATAAATGGCGGTGGTCAAAGTTCTTCTTCTTCTAGTCTTGTTCGTCATCATCGACCATCATCATCATCGAAAATGATGATGACCATAATCAATGGCCAACATCATATCAATGATCATCAGCATAGTTTATCATTGATAACGCCCAACAATAATAACGATTTTCATGTAAATAATAGTCAAAATCATACAAAAATGGATAAAAATAACATAACTGCATTACGATATTCACAACCACAACAGCGGCCAACATCAATGATTAATAATCATAGGCTACCTGATGATGCTGATCAACAGAATGATCTATCACAATGGTTAAGGCCTGTTTATATTCCACCTAAACGTTCATCATCATCGATGATTATGATGGACCCATCATCATCATCAACAACAGCATCGAATCAAACATCATCCATTCTATTGTTTGGTTCAGATATGATGATCATGTCATCATCAAATAATACTACCACTATCAACAGCGATGATGATGATAAATTGAAAAATAATAATGAAAAAAATTTATTATCCAAAAGTTATGGAAATATATTATTACGAACAAATATAACATTTGAACTTAAAGATGAACAATGGGTTGCACCAATTATTGCATTATCAACATTGAATATGTTGGTCATTATTGCATTCGAATGTTTTGTCATATATCGAGCTTGCCGGTAAGTTTTTCAAAAAAAAAACAAATAAAAAAAACAATGATCCGAAACATACACAAACACACCCTGATTGATTGATTGATTGATGTTTATTTAATTCAATTAAATTGTAATTACCATTTACTATTACATCATACACACTGACATCACTTACACTATTTGTATTTTTCGATTGATTTCTTCATAAACTTTTTATTTTTTTTTATATCGATCTATAGCACATGTCCATCTAGACGTCATCTATTCTTAGGTCAAATGTTATTACTTGGTCTATTCCTATGTTCAGCAATGGGCCTTACATTTGTACCGAAATCATCATGGTTAACCTGTACAATGATACGTTCTGGTTTGGGTATTAGTTTTGCCATTGTATATGCAGCATTATTAGTGAAAACGGTATTCCTATTATCATTACATCAAGGCGTTTATCTTAGTGCCGAATATCAGGCATTATTATTATTTTTTATTATTGCAACACAAGTGGCTATTGATGTACAATGGTTAGCATTTTCACGTTCAACATTAGTTATCGATTATTGGGATGGTTTCGGTCAAGCTGTATATCGTTGTGATCATTCCACACAACATTTACTATGGTCATTATGTTATATTATATTATTAATTGGTAAGTGAAATTCTTTTTGATGATGATGATGATGATGACCACTCGAATTTGATCAAACGTGAAATTTCGGAATTATATACCTTTATTCAATTACCTTAAGTGGTCACGTGTATGTGTGATGGCAATTGATCAAATTCGGTTGATTTTGTTCGAATTGAATTAATTTTTTCATTTTGTTTTGGTTTTTTTTTGTAAAGCCATTTTAGCCGTGATGACATTCCGCATACGTGGTTATCGTGAAAATCATGGTGAAGCCTTATTTCTTGGTATTGTAGCCATATTACAGATATTTGTTTGGTTTGTATGGACAACCGGTACAATGACCAGTACACCACATTATCGTGATGGTTTTACAGCATTCGGTATTGTGGCTAATGCAACAATGATTTTTATGATAATGTTCTTACCGAAAGGACGACAATTAGCAGCTGTTGGTGGCCGCAGTAGTGGTGGTCATCATTTTGGTGTCAATGGTGATGATGATGATGGTTCCGGTGGTGGTGGTGGTAATGATGGTCACCATCATGCTGTTATGGCTGGAATCCCTGGAATTGATCAATTATCGATTGGTTCATCACCATCAATATATTGTGGTCCACAATCATTTTTACATCTAAAAAGTGGTTCATTATCTGGTAATATGAAAGCATCAATGATGAATAATAATAAACAATCATCATATGCATATCGTACATCGATTGGTACTGTTATTGGTGGTAATCATGGTCATAATAATAATAATAATCGATCATCACATGGTTCAATAACACCGGGGGCTACTGCAGCATATCATCATTTATATCAAAAATTTAATTACAATATTCATGGAACCGATACATCATTGACAACAAGTCCAAATGATGGTGGTATTGGAACAACATCAACAACATTAACTGCCAACAACAGTAATAATAATAATAATAATTACCAATCACGATCAATGTCGAATAGTTTTAGTAGTCATGCTATATTCAATGCTAATTTTCAACAAATACAGCAACAACAACCGAATTCAATGAATGAACAAAAAATGAAAGAATCAACCGGCAATAATGATGGTGACAACAACGATAATGATATCAGTGATGATGATGATGATGATGAAGATCCAAATTATTCAAATTTATCAAATATATTTACAACATCAACTTTAGCAATGACAACAACAACAACAGCAACGACAACGGCAACGTCATCATCAAATGATGATGGTTGTTCAAAAACTAGTCCAATTAGTGAGAATAATTCCAATCATGATTCATCATCAGCATCGGATCACCAGACACGTGCACCGTCCATACCAAAAACCAAACGTCCAACATTAATGAATGGTTTACAACAGCAGCCAATTAAATCACCGAATGGTATGTTGTGAAATGATTTGCTTATATTCATCATCAATGATGATTGCTTATTTTATGTGGCTTCTGCTTTTTTATGCTTCATAATTGTCGATTTATTTGATTTACTTATATATGTGTGTGTGTGTGATATATGTTTTTTTTGATTAGAAGGGCTTCTTGTTTTGTGTTTATAGTAGTAATCGATATCCATCCAATAGTATCCGGCTTTTGTTTGTTATTTTGATTGGCTTTGGCTTCCTTATAATATTCGCAAATACACAAATACGCATCGTCATTCGATTCATTCATACATTTTTATTTCGATTCAATTGAACACCAATTATTTTTCTTTTTCTTTGTTCTTTTCTTTATATTTTTTTCACCTTATAACAACGAAGAAGAAATTCAACAACAATTCAAATTACTTCACATTGTTTTGTAAGTTGAAACCCCTTGTTGTGTTTATGTTTCTTTTTTCTGAGTTAGGAGGAGAAGAAGAAATGAAAAAAATATCCAGCGAAATTGGACGCCATTCAAACGAAATGAACAGTAACGTTATTCTTTTCTTTTTTTTCGTTTTTGTTTTTTGGCCGATTTTGAATGAAATTGAGATCTATTTTTAATGGATGACGACGATGAAGATGATTATATTGTCAAAATTCATTTTCGAATGAACACTCTATGGATGGATGGAAATAGTTAGCCAAGAAAGAAAAGAAAATTATTATTCAACAATGTAGCAGCAGCAATGATGGGGATGAAACAATTATCAACATTCGACGACTATCGATATTATCCACATGCATACACAAACATATGGATAACGAAAAAACGAAATCTATATTCTATTTTGGTGGCCAAATAGAAAAGAAAAAACCTTGATTGACCATCGAAACCTATATTTAGATTATTCCAGGAACAACCTTTTTTTCAAATTGATGATCATGATGATGATGACGTCGTCAAACTTTTTTTTAGACAAATGTCAGCCATCTATCTCTTTGACGCTGATTGGCATGCATAGAATTTTTTTTTTTTGTTTAAAAGACGGACGACTAACTAACTATCCACACCCAAAATATTGCATTTCTTTCACGTCGTCATCGTTGTATTGTTGTTGATGTTAATGATGGAAGGATATGGTGTGTGTTTAGCCAATATGTCAATCTTCTAATGAGTAGATCTAGTACCTTTTGTGTGGACTGATTTTTTTATTTCGTTATTATTTCTTTTTTTTTTGACATTTACATTTTTTATACATGGTATTCATTCAATTCATTTAAAATTTTGATTTAGTTATGCGATCTTGATGATGATGACAGACAAGCGTAACCAACAAATAAAAAGGAAAAAAATGGTCAAAGTTTGATTGATTCAAATTTGTGGACCCAGTATTGTCGATGTAGTTGATGATGATAATAAATAAGGAAGTGTATCAATAGAAATGGCTATATACATATAATCGATCCATTTTGGTTTTCATAAGAAAAAATTTGTTTTTTTTTTGTTTCGTTTTCTATGATACAATAATGATGATGCTACCATAGTCCATCATCATCATAATCATAATCATCTTGATCATGATTGATTGATCGATCGATCAATCATGATCATGCCGATTCCATAATTCAATTAACCTTTATTATTATTCGTTCGAATAGGTCGCATGTGAGAAAACAGCAACAACAACAAAAAAGATGCGGCATTATTAATGCCGCATTATCATCATCATCAATACCCGATGATCAATCATGACAATGATTGACAAAATATTCACATTTTATATTCAATAAATGAATACTGTTTTTTTATTGTTGTAGTTGTTGTTGTTGATGTTCTATTGTCTACTTTCAAGTATCGCCGCTACCATTATGATGATGATTACAATTGAATGAATGCAATGTGTTTGTTTCAACAATGTTCAAACAAAACAAAAATCAAAAAAGAAAAAAAAATGAGAAAATTATTGATGCCGAATCATCAAACTAATTATAACAATGCCGACAACAGCAGCGAAACAAAAAAAAATAATCGAAATTGATTTTTCTTTTGGAAATTTTGTTGTGGAAATTACATTTCCGTATGATGAAAAGAAAAGAAAAGAAAAGAAAACTGGCCAACAACGAAAAAAAAGTTTATGATAATAATAATAACCAATGGACTGATGAACGGGTTTAATCAGAAAAAAAATCTCTAACAGAATTATTATTATTATTCGAAAACTTTATTTCCAAACAAGTTTTCATACATCCAATATAGCAAAAAGCGAAATGCAATATCATAACAAAAATGTACAAGAATTGAAAATGAATGGAAATGAAAAAAAAAGATAATTAATTTTCACTTCAGTCATGTTTCACGGCTCAATAATTTATATTGGAAAATTTTTTGTTTTGTTTTTAATTTTAGATGAAATGATGATGATGATGTGTGTGTGTGTGATCATCATTTCACATATCGGACAACAACTTTTTGGTGTTGGGTGAACAATCAAATTTTTATAACAGAATTTATAAGTGAAATATCCCCCTCCCCTGCTGAAAAAAGCGTCCATAATTCTGTACATAACCAGATAGTGAAAATAATGTCACATTTTTTTCACATTCTTTATTTTGTTATGTTCCACTTTTTTTTCTGGTTGACAATTGAAATTAAATCAAAACACCAAGCCACATAATATTTGCGTGTGTGTGTGTGTGTGTGTGAAAAGAGTCGAAAAAATATTGCTGATACATGGCGGTGAAACGGGAAAATTGGAACAAAATATATTTGTAACGAGGTACAATAAATATTTCACCCAGAGAACAACCACCACCACCACCATAATAATACGATTCCGAATGTGGATATCCACGCCAACGCCCAGTGATTAGCCAGAAAACTCTATCTTTGTTGGTTATTATTGGAATTTTTTTTTTTATTTCAAACTGAACACAAAAAAAAAAATTTTCTGGGTCGACGTTCCCATTGAATATTATTTGTTGTTGGTGGATGATTAGATTTGGTTCCAATAGCAATCACAATGAAAACAACAAAAAACGAACATTGTTTACACCAATGTCCAATGTCATTTGCTGTGACAAAACAAAAAGTTGGCAAAATGTCTTTTTCTTTTCTGGTTCACACACATGCCATGGATTTACAGAATTCATAGAATCTAACCAAACAATGGCTTAATTTATGTGAATGAATTTTTTTTTCTTCTTATTTGTTCTGAGCTAAAGATTTCTTTTTTCTGATTGCAGAATTACAAATGATGTTGATCCATGACGATAACCAAGTAAAGCTGTTCTTATTGTTGTATTTGGATAAAAATATATTGACCACAACACGATAATCATCATAATCATAATCATAATCATTATATGATTCTTGCTTGCTCATGGATATTTGTTTTCATATATATATCTATAATAATTCGTTTATAATAATTTGAATTCTTTGTTGTAATGGAATAAACATTAGAAAACAACATCTGGAATTTTCAAAATATCCATTTTTGATTCATTGATGATTCCTATGGACAATTGCAAATTCCATTATATAACCATTGAACTATTCAGTAAGTAAAGACAAATGTCCGTGAATCATTGGTATCATGATTGTTATTTACCATTCACGATTCGAATCATCATCATCATCATCATTCGATAAAAATTCGACCAACACTAAAAAAAAAAAATGTATTCGAAATGAATTCCTTTTCCCCTCAATATACATAGTGTTGTTTGTTGTTGTTGTTGTTGTTCATACAAAAAAGAACATTTATTATTTTATGATGATGACCGAACCAAACAAACTTTCGATTTCATCAAATGTATGTGTTATTATTATATTGCCAATGGTGGCTAGTAGTTAAGCTATGGTGGATTAGTTCCAGTTAGTTTTTTTTTTGTTTTGTTTTATTTCGTGTTTGTTTCATATATTATATTTGATAAAACAGGAACATCATGATATTCATACCCCCTACATACACACATCACACTTGGGATTAAATGAAAATAGACGACAACGACTGATAGCTGGATGTTATATAACACAAGCAGAAATTCTGTTTTTTGTATTAAATTTTCATTTTTTGTTTTTCATAATTTTTTTTTCTTCATTCTTTTTTCTTACACATTCCATTATTCTTCTTATCTCTCTTAACGAATATACTATTTCAACTTATGTCGGCTTACACACACATGGGTTTGGTTTTTTTTTGTTTTTGTTTTCAGATGTTTTTTTTCATTTCCGAATGAAAACGATATTTTGATAATGTTAGAATCATCATCATCATATTGATTTTGATCTTTATAAACGAAAAATATGGAGCAAATTAATTTACAATCAAGATTAATGATGCGTTCCATTTTCATGCGTTTTTTTCTGGCCAAAGCCACATTGCTGCTGCTGCTACTACTGTTAATATATCAGTCAGTCAGCATTATTATTATAACTTTATGAAACTTTTTCTACTCGGTTTGGTTTCTACTCGATTTGGATTTTCAATTTCGTTTTTTTTTCATTTTTGATTATCATTTCTTCTGCTTGCATGAATTCTATGGATTCCATATTTATTAATTTTTTTTTTGATTCGATTTCTTTCCTATAGATCCTACGGCCATACTATCACAATCACAATCATCATCATCGAACATATTAACACAATTATTGCAGCCACGAAATGCAGGTGGTGGTTTTTTCTATCTACAACCACCTCCATTACCTCCACCATTGTCATCGACAACAACAACAACGACAACAGCAATTGATTCGATGATGAACAACAACTCGACTACAATGGCCATTACGTCCATTGTAACAAATACAACCCCCACAACACAACAGCAATCATCACGTTCATCATGGCGTCAATCCTGTTATACGGCTTCAAATTTTGGTGTCAATCATCGTCATTATTATCCAGGTCCAAAATCTGGTTCATATCATCCATCATTACCACCGGTACCATCAACACCAACTGGATCCGGTCTAATCACACCAATCGGTCATATGCCACCAACACCACAATTGATTAGTCCAACAACAAATGATGTAACTCATCATCACAATCATCATTCATCATCAATCATGAATCATCATCCTCATCATCAGATTGGATTCTATTTTGGTCAATTCGATATACGAAATGGTAAATCCAATCAACAACAACAAACAACGACATCATTGAATGGACAGCAACAACAACAACAACAACAACAGCCCAATTTCAAATATTATCGCGGCCAACATTATTGAACGAATAAAAAAAAATCATAGATATCGAAATAAAGAAATGAAATGCAAAAAAAGAAGAAAAAAAAATCGAAGTTATCACGATTGCATGTAATCGAATCATCATCATAATCATGATCATTGAATCGGCTATATTAACTGCCTCCAGGGAGTCATTCAACCACCAACATCATCATTCCCAAATGGTCCAACACACACAGTCATCGATAATAATGATGACCGAAATGGGCACAAAAAAAAGTAAAATAAAAAAATTCCACATTCGAATTCGATTCGATTTCTTCGAAATCAAGCTTCAATCAATCGACAACGGATCGATGATGATGATGATCGCCAAACAACCAGCCATCACCCCCAATCATCAACATGCAAAACATCATCATCATCATCATCATTATGAATTTTCTAAACACACAAATATTTAAATCCAAATAAAAATTTCCATTTTCTTTTCATCATCGTTGTTGTTGTGTTTATACAGACAGAAATGGGCCTTGTTTTTTCAAATAAAAAAAAATCTTATTTTTTTCCTTTTTGTTTTTTTTTTATTTTTTTTATTGTTTGTTTGTTTTATTTTACATTCATTTACATCATCTTACAAGAAATAGAGAAAACACTTCACAAGACCACTTATACATTATCATATCTTGATTCATCATAAACATCACAATAAACACAAAGAGCAAAGATTGTGCCAAAATGAACCCGAATTCTCTTTTGCAGAAAAAAAACAAAAAAAAACAAATCACCGATCCAATTATTGATCCAAAAAAAAAATGAATGAATCAATGAATGAACATCATTTTGTCATTTAATGTATCATATATTTCTGTCATTATGACATACAAACACACACACACACAAAAGACGTGCACACGAATCGATTCAAATCAAATTGTTCGATCGATTTTTTTTGTGTGTGTGTTTGCGTGTACCAATAAATAATTCCGAATGTTTGTATTTACAAATATACATCATTTACATCACATTATATAATTTCAGATCACTGAAAAAAGAAATTTGTAACATTTTTTTTTTGTGGCCAAAAAATTTTACACACACACACACACATACACATAAATATTGCCACAAGCCAAATATATATGCAACATATATAAATATAACAAAATCCAACAAGATAAACGATTATAATAAATATAATAATCACCACACACACACACACACACACAATGAATAATAATCATAATCATAATGATATAAATGGTGCAAAAAAAAACATTTTTTTCGCTTGTAAATTTTCATTTAAACACACACACACACACACATAGAACACATTCACAATTTTTTTTTTTTTTGGATCCGATTTTGAAATCTGTGGATTTTCTTCATTCATTCATTCATTTTTTTTTGCTGCATGAATCTAATTTTTTTTTGCACGACAATGTCAATTAAACAAACAAAACGAAAATATTTTCTGCATACAAAAATAATGCACTAAATAAAAATTCGATGTGTCAATAATAATCGATTTTGAAGGTAAACAAAAAAAACCTGATCATGTTTTTAAGGTGGCCGAAGGAAACGTGTGTGTGTGTTTTGTTTTTGTTTTTTTTTGAATTTCGCAAAAACAACAACAACAACAAGCCATAAGGTTCGGGCCATGATTTACCGGATATGGGTGTATAGTGTGAATGAGTGTTAGTTAATCTTGAACTAGATTTTCTCTTTCTTTTTTTTTTATTTGATTTGTTTTGTTTTGTTTTGATTTTGGTTTCATTGACTTTGGACGACAACGAGGCGAGTATAAAACACCAAGCTAATATTTAAGATATTTGTTCACTTGTATTTTGGTTGTTGTAAAAAGTGTGTGTATGTATGTGATGATGGCTTTCTATTATTTATCTTTGTTTATGGCTATAATTGCCATTCAATTTTTCATTGTTTATGTAAATTGTTATTATCAACAACATTATGGTAGGTATATGTGTGAAAATTTTGATGAATGATTAATGATGATGATCGGATGATCGGATGATGATGATGATGATGTTTTTGTCAAATATTCGAATGTTTTTGTTTTTGTTATTTTTAGCTCGATCAATAATCTCCTCTTAATTTCAATATAATAGGATCACCAAAAAGTTTTGGATATAAAACCGAAATTCATCATCCAGCACGTAGCTATGTTTATCATGAACAACATTTTCCCAAAATATCCAAATCATATTATGACAATGATAATTATGGACCAAATCGTCATGGTGGACATAAATACAATTTTGATGATGATGGTGGCTTCAAATTTGACCATTATTCACCACCAATGAAACGACAGATTATTACCTATCATCATCAAGCACCGCCACCGCCACCACCACCCAAAAAAACTGAAAAAGAAAATGATTCGATTAAATTCAGTGTCGATATACCAGTAAAAAATATGGATTTTGGTAAAGGATTAGAAAAAGAAATTATGAGCGTTCATGAAGGCATTACGAAATCCGATGATAATGGCATGGTTGAAAATAATTATGGTAACGATAATAGTTATGGTGGTGTTGGTGATGAAAAAGAAATGAAAAAAGATTTATCAATACCGGAAATTTCTATACCAAAATTCGATGTTGATGGAATGTTGGATAAGATAAAATGACGTATAATCGAACGTCGGCAATAAATATACAAAAGTTATATTGGTGGAGCCATCTATCATCATTGAATGCGGTTAATTAATCGATTTAAAATTTTTAAATATTTAACATTGATTATTGTGGCGCCTCTTGCTGCTGCCCTTCGTCGTTGTTTTGTTTGTTTTCAATGAATGAGATTTAAAATTATTATATTTTTTTTTGTTGAAAATATTTATTTATTTCATTTTTTCCCTTTTACATTTAATTCATTTATGGATATTGTATTATTGTCAGTTTTTTTTTGTTCGTTTTGTTCATTGAAAAGAAAATAAAAACATTTTGTGTAAACTTGTTTCAAAAATTATCTGATTGTGAAATATTGAATGATACAACATTGATTAACGATAACAACAAGGCTATTGGTATTTAAGCTTTGGGGCTAAAATATTTGATTAAATCTTGAAGTGAATGTGTGTGTGTGTGTGTGTGTGGTTAGTGTGAGAAAGAAAAACAATATCGGAATAGGTACAAGGATAGGATATAAATTATAATTGGTGCCAATTATAATCTGCTTTGTTTTGTTTGGATTGTCTGTTTGTTTTCATTATTTTTCATTGTTGGTTGGTTATACGGCTTAATGATTCAAAAATGATATACCACTTTTCATTTATTCATTCATTGATCCAGAAAACAATGAATACGTTTCGAAACGATAATTTTGAATGGCCATCATTCATTCATTCTTGTCGTCCATGTAAAGCGGATGATGATTCATGTGTTGGATTAATGCCGATAATCATTTCACCTTTAAGACCACGTGATAAACGTCTACCATCCAATGGTTGTATATTATGTATAATTGTTGCATCACCATTATCACGACGGAAAATATAATCATCTTCATTACGTATTTCTTTATTAACACGTTGTTTATATGGACTAAATCGGGCAATACGATTATTCATTATATTTTCAAAATATAATTGTGCTACATGGACGGTTGTTCCGTTTACATGGGCTTGTAGGTGTATATGTGGTGTGCGGAATGCATATTGTCCTGACAAATTAATCAAATTAATTAAATTGGCAATTTATATTTGCAAAATAAAGAAACTTACCAGGAAATACTGTCATAAATTCTACATGACCATTTTCATCGGTCATCTGTACTCCACGTAAAAATGTTGTATTATCTGTTGGATCGGCATGTAATACAGATTTAGGTACAGTTGTTGCTGAATTTTTCGTATACGATGAATATGTACCCAATGCATCAGATTGCCAAATATCGATAGTAACATTTTTAATCGGTTCACATTTAGTTATATCCGTAATTGTAAATTTTAATTTAAATGTTAATCCGGGACGATTTTCACGTATATCACTACGTACAAGATGATATGGTAGATAATATGGTCCTTCCGTACCTTCAGGTGTTAAAACACATTGATGTTGAAGAAGATGACGGCCCATACGAGCACATATTTGACCATTGGTTAATTGTACGGCAGCGATAAACAATAATAACGACAGTGAAATTATTTTATACATTTTCATCTATGTTTTATCAATGATGATAATGATGATGAGATTATTTTGTTTTAATCATTCAAAAATGATGGCAAACGAATGAATAAATGAATTTGATACAATCCGTGATTAATCGAGCTAGTTCTATTTTTTTTTCGTTTGTATATGAATGTATGTGTTTGCTTGATTGCACAAGAAAATGTTGTGACAAAAAGCAGAAAAAAAACTTGATTATAACCATCGATGACGACAACAAGAAATGGCAAATTTTGTTTTTTTTTTTTTTTTGCTTCGTATACACTAAGTTCGACCTTCTTCCACCATCTCTCACCATTATCAACATAAACATAAACATTCGAATCGAACGTCGTTAATGAATATGGAACGAATTGAATGAATGGATTTCGAATGAATCGATTAATCGCAAGATAATAATCGATTGTATATTATTATCATTATTATTTTTGGTTGGTTTTTATTTTGTTTTGGAGATTAAGTTTTTTCTCGAAAATAAATCGTCAATCAATATTTTATTGTCCATCATTATTATGATAATATATTATTAACCACAAATCATTCATTCGAATCTAATTATATTATTTCAATTACAATCATCCATTCATTCATTCATTTTCGAACCAATTTTACATTCGATCCTTCATTCCAAAATTTAATGGATTCTATTTGGAAATTTTTTGTCTTGTTTTGTTTCTTCCAACAAAAAAATAGCACTCTTTTTTTAATGATTGATTGATTGATTACAATTTTTTTTATTTTTGTTATTTTTTTGGAAAACAACTTGTAATCCATAAATAAATTGATTTCATTGAATTTGATCAAGTTTTTTGTTTTTTTGTGTTGATTTGATCTAATGATTTTTTTTGCGATTTTTATATTGATGATCACATGATTGGTTTTTTCTGTTTTTTTTAAACACAACATGTGTTTGTCATCCTCATTATCATTATTATCATCAACAAACATTGATGGATCAAAACACTCAATCGGCTATGTATGGAAAAATACGTGTTTTTTTTAATGTTCGTACGTTTTATTACGAGTGCCACTTGATTATTATTACCGATGGTAATGGTAATATACATATCAAAACAGCATCCATGGATTCGATTCATTTTCTACATGTCTATTTTATTGAATCGAGAAAAAAAAACCCTCAAGTATTTTTAGTCAAGGATGACCTGACCTCGTTTCATACATAACACACGTATAAAAATCATTCAATGCTGCACTGGATGTATGTGACCCTAACCCCAATGATCTTCAGAGCGGTAGCTGCCATCACCACCATCACTTTGTGGTATTGTTTATGTTGATGTACCAAACACACACACACACAAACAATGTGCAGCTAGGTCATCGGGGCTAAAGGAGGTCAACCAAGGTGAACAAGATCATGAACCCTAACTAGGACAAATATCTCAAACGCCCTATCGTCAAATATTTACCCTTATTTCATGTCTATTATTCAATTGTTCCGTTTTGAAAGGTTTTTGCGTAACCCGATTTTTATACAAAATGAAAGGGAGAAACAACAACGGCAACGAAAAAAGAGGTAACCTGGTTACCGATGATGGGTGAGGGTGTTACGGGCGGTTCAAAAGGATCGAAAGGGCTTGGTTATTATGTATAAATCAAAGACCGGGTTAAAATGGTCGGGTTATATCTAGATGTTGGCGGATGTGGGTGGCTGATGGTGGTTATATGATTTGGTTTTAGTAGGGTTCAACTGGTTTAACAATGATCAAACTTATCCGACGATTTTGTGTATGTGTGGGTCGTCGTCTGTGGGGTGACTATTAACCGACCGATCCAATTTACCATTAAATAGGTCACCCGTTTTTACTCAACATTTTCAATCGTGAACTAGCTGTGATGTGTGTGTGTGTGAACCAAAAACAATTGTTGCCTTCTCTCATTTATTAGATATATAGATCAATTAGACCGCGTACTGTTGTTACACTCTCCAATGTCGCTAATTATCGATTGTTTCAAATCAGTTAATTAATTAATTAATTAATTAATTACATTAATTAATTTTGGCGAAATGTTTCTATTTTCGAAATTAAATTAATAAAAAAGCGGTAATGAGTGATTGAGTGAGAACAAAACAGAAAAAAAAATCAATTTTTAATCATTTTGATATTGGAAAAATATTTGAAAACACACACATGTTCAATATGATAATGAATATTGGCCTCATAAATGGATGAGCAAACAAACTAAAACATTCAAATCGATGATTATGATGATGATCGATGTGAATGTTGACCATAGAATTGATTTAATAATTGATCAATTTCATCTTTGAATGTCTGTGATGATGATGATAATGATGATTCACCATGATTCTGATGTGCATTAGTTTTACCTGAAAACAAATCCGCTGGAATTGGATAATTCGATAATGTCATCATTCTGTTGTTATTATTATTATTATCATTATCATTTGATGATTCATCATTTTGAATAAAATGACCAGATCTTAATGGTGATCTACTGCCATAATAGCTATCAACATCATTGGCAAATGAAATTGTACTAATACTTGGTTGTCGTGAATAAATATCATTATCACTATGATTATCATTATCCATATTATTATTATTATTACTACTACTACTACCACTGTCATATTCATCATCATTCGCACCATTAGATGTATCCATTTGATTCCAAAATGGTGTTTCAAAACCAAATTCTTTTGCATATTTTGAGATAGATTTTTTCCAATCAAATTGTTGATCATCTATTGTTGTTGGTTGATTTAATTTCATCGATGATGATGATGATGATGCTTGTGATGATCGTATTATTGCTCCATTTGGATCATGAAATGTTAATGCCATTGATGATTGTGGTGGCGATGATGATTGATGTCTTGATGATTTAAATGATGATCGATGCGGTTGTTGTTCATTTGATTCTTTCAATATTGAACCTGATGATGAATTCATTGGATCCGTAGAACGAAATGATTGTTGATAATAGGTCATAACTTTACTATTAGGCATTGATGATGTCATTATTGAACGACGACCTTGTTGACGTTGTTGTGTATTTCGTTTAGGATTATTCATCATTGATGATGATAAAGGTTCTTTTGCTTTACGACCATAGTGTTGTTGTCGATGTTGTTGTTGAAGATAATAACGTGATTCATTTGATGAATAAGTTTTTGGTTCATCTTTGGATGATGATTCTTCAAACGATAATGTCATATATGTTTCACGTGGTGGTGATGGCGATGATGATAATGATAATGGTATAGGTGTTGTTGCTGTTATTATTGGTAATTTTTTATGAACACGTTTCTGTTTACTTTGCATTGGTCGCCATGGCTGTTGTTGTTGTGGTGGTAAATTGGTTATTATTTGCATTGTTTTTGGATCAATCATTCGTTTGGTCATTGTCGACGTTGATGGCATTGATCGATGCGATGGATTGAGTGAATTCAGTCTTATAGTTGGAACAGTTGGTGGTGGATAATTCGATGGTAACATTTTTGTAACCGTTGGACTACGATATTGTACAACAGTTTCTTCATTATTATTCAATATCGATGGTCTTGTACTGAATATCATTGATGTTAATTTTGGTATCACTTGTTGATAGAAACGTTCACGATCAGCTGTTTCCGATGTAGCACTAGTGACAAGAACGGATTTAATTTTATCATTAATTGATTTTGGATATGATGATGAAGAATGTGATCCGGATTCCGACATAACAATGGTCGGATTTTGATTATCCCTCATCGATGATGATGATGATGATGATGATAATGATTGTGGAATACGTTTGAAATCAAAATTATCCACAAATGGTATCGCTCTTTCATCATAGATAATGGAATTTCCTGAAAACAAAAAAAATGATTTTTTTTAATTTCAAATTTTCAAAAAAAAACCGAAATCAACCTTTTGGATGAATTACTTCATGATGTGCATCGACAATTACCATCAATAAGACAATTGTCATCAACAACAATAAGACAAACATGGAATTAATCAATGGATATAACGAATGCATTTTTTATCAAACACACACACACACACACACAAAACACAACCTAACAATCGATATATCGATATTTGAATCAGAAGAATGATGATGATCTGGATATTGAAGAAAAAAAAAAAAAAGATCTGATCAAGGTATATTGGTGACGCCGAATTTTTATACCAAGGAAACGAAATCAACAACAGTTTGAACAGTTTTGTTATTGTTGTTGTTGTTGTTGTTTTTACCACAACCTTTCATTTTGTGATTCAATTTGTGTGTTTCCCGTTTCTTTATTTATTATCTTATCCATTCCTCTCCCTTCGAACGATATATGTTTCACATTCGACTATATTATTATATAATTCGTATTTTACCTTATTGTATAATATAATAACGGTTATATTTCGGTTATTCAAGTCAAAGATTTTTTTTTCTTTTTCAATTTTCTATTTTGTTGATTATCACCACTGTGATCTAAAGAAAAAAAAGATAAAATAAATTCAAATTAAACAAATGTGAGAGAGACACAAACCTATCAGACCGAATCTTTTTTTTTTCTTGTTGAAGCTGATGGTGTCGTCAGGTTAAAAAGTAATTTTTATTTTATTCACCAAACACAACAACAACAATAATTTTGTTGCTTGTCATCATCATCATCATCATCATCATTACCATAAAAAAAACAGCAACAACAACAACAACAAAGACAAAATTGTCAAATCGATCGATCGATGAACAATTTTCACTTTTTTTCTATAAACTATATCCATATACAATGGTTGATGTAATATATTTGATAATAATAATTATTCACATTTAACGATCGAGGAAAGCGCAAAGCCAATAATCATAATCATAATCATAATCATAATCATAATGTTAATGATAATGATTCCGGAAAAGGGAAAAAATATTTCAGAATAAATAATTTATTTATTAAATTAAATGGAATGGGAAAATGATTGAAAGAAAATACAATGGTGGTATATGTATGTGTTGAGGATATAAAATAAAATTAATAGATTATGTTTTGCTAAAGAAAATTACCGTTAGATGATATGATAGATATTTGTTGACAAAAAAAAGAAGAAAGAAAATACAGGGATAATAGTTTTAAAAATATGAAAAAATAAAAAAAAAATGTTTACACGGCTTATGCCTGTAATGCACTGTGATGATGATGATTATGATGATGATGGTTGTGGTGGTGGTGATGATGGTGGTGGTGGTAATTAGGAATTTTAATTCGTTTAAATAGATTTTTAAGATTCGATAATGATGATAATGTGGATGATTGATATGATGAATCCATCTGATGATATACATGTTTACGACAATTATTAATTGCTTTCTCAAATGTTTCGGTTAATTGTTGACAAAAATGTTGACGATAAATATTCAACATGAATACATGATGAAATGCTTTGATATGTCGTGATGAATAACAATAATTAAATAATTGTATTGCACCGATTTGTTCAACATATTCTTTGACCTCACGACAAGGACCACATTGACGACAACGACGATGATCACGTACATTGCCCAAAACGAATACTGTTGGCCGTTGTTGTTGATCATCATCATTATTATAAAGTGCCAATATTGAATCTAATGCATCACGCATCTGATGAAATGATTGTTGATAATTTGTCCAATCATAAACACCGATTATAGCATCCAAACTATGATAATATGGTTGTATTGTTGATCGATCCAATTGGCCATTACAAGTACGTTCGAATACTTTTAATTGAATTTCAATTTCACGAAATTGTACTGTTTGTGAATAGCAACATTGTTTAATAATATTGTTATTGACGGTGGTGTTGGTGTTGTTGTTTTTGTTGGTGGCGGTGATTTCATTATTTTCACAATTATTTTCTAATGATTGTTGTCGATGATATTGATATGGACAATTTGTGCAGCTTAAAATTGATTCAATCAAACTGGTTTTACCACAACCTAATTATAGAAATAATATATGTTTTTACAGGTAATCAATAAGATTCGATTTTTTTTCAATCAAACAAACAAAAAAATAAAGCTGAACGAACCTGATGGTCCAATGACCAAAATTTTTTGCGTAATTCGATGATAAAGTGGAGATTGAGACATTTGGCTGACAGTGTTTTTCATTGTTGTTGTCAAATAATTCAAAAAGGAAAAAAAATCGAACAATCAACCAGAAGACGAAGAAAAAAAAATAAAACAGGAATAAAACGATTGACAAAAAAAAGAAGTCTTGTTTTTGGTTCAGAAAAATATCAGAAAAAAAAACACAATGGAACCAATGACACGAATGATGATGAAAATTGATTCACTATATATAAATTATGAAAATGTCCATGCAAACAAAAGTATCGATGTTTCATGCAATTGATGATGATGATGATGATAATGATGGTGATGGTGGTGGACAATATCTACTAAAATATCAATATAAGACATTCTCAATGATGACTAATGATAATTTTGATCGAAGAAAATACATAAATGAAAAATACAACGAAACAATCATCAAATAAAAAAATAAATAAAAACTTAACAAATGACAATAATCACGTTTTTATCTTAAAATGTTCTCTTGTCGTCGTCGTCGTTGTTGGCGTTAAAGTTGTATTTTAAAGACAAAATGAATGAACACAAATAATAATAATAATAATCAATCGAAAATAATAGGTTTATCACATCAGATTGTTTTCTAATGATAATAATAATTAGATTTTTACGGAAAAATAAAACAACAACAAAAAAAGACATTAATTATTTCTAAAAAGCATAAGATAAACACAACCAATTAATTACCCTTTTCCTTATTGATGATGATAATGATGATGATGAAATGTATAAAAAATACGGTAGTGAAATAGTGAATTGAATGATTTTTGTACGTATTTTATAAGAATAAAATTTTGTATAATCTTCCTGATGGCGGCCACACAATCAAACAAATAACCGGGAAAATCGTTTCGTAAGTTTGTCTTTTTTTTGTGTTGATCAATGTTGATGATGTTGATAATGATGACCGCCAAACCAAGATAAGGTGAAAATTCAATTCAATTTATTCAATTGTCAATAATGAGAATGATGATGATGATGAAGATTGTTGGTGGTGACTTGACAGAAACGCACCAACTAAATTGTCATTTAACATAAGTCATTCAATCAAGTTTAATGTCTTCTTCTTTGTTGTTGTTGTTGTGTTTTTTTTTTTTTTTTTTTTTGACTAAAAACAACCAATCTGGTCGATCATATTTATATATTGAAGCCAAAAAATAAAAAGAAAAAAAAATCAATCACCATACTTTGAAAGTGAGTGGATTTGTACATAATCGAAAAATAAAATAACATAATTGTCACGTTATCTGCAATCAATCAAACAATCAAGCAATCTTATCGATTTGATCAATTTTTCTTATTATAGTAATAAAAATCGATACATATCGATGAACTCTGTCATCTTGGCACTCGTGTGTGTGTAATTCTTTTTAGCTATTTTGATCCAAATCTTGTTACTAAGAACAGGAAGAGTGGAAATTCTTCTGATTTTTTTTTCTTTAATTGATATTTTTATCGACAATAATTCGATGACAAATAATAATGAAATGTAGTGTATATGAAGACACCATATTCACGATGATGATCCATGCATAATATGGTAATTATCGTTGTGGTGGTGATGGTAACTGTTGAAGTTGGTTTTTAACAACAATCATACAATCGTAATTGTAATTGAATTTAAATTAATATTCATATATATTTGGAAGCTTATTTGCTTTGAATTTAATTAATTAAAATATTGTTATTCAAGTTTGACTAATTCTTTAATAGGTTATGGGCCTAGTATTGCTTACGAATTAACGTTTCGTTTTCTTTGTGCTTAGTCATTCTTGTTATTTTTACTCTTGTGTTATCATCATATTTTTACCGTATCGATATTTATTTTTACGACAATGTCCAATAAAGAATTTAATGTTGTTAAGACCCTTAAACTGGGCGAAGTAACATATAGACAATGGTATGTTACTCTATTGGATGCTCTGGAAGCGCTAGACCTCGATGATTTTGTTAAAGATTTTAAGTACATACGTAATGATGGCGATGTAGCTATAACAAAAGAAGAAAAAGGTCGTATCGCAAAGGTTAAAAATATCATACGATTGTCGATTTCTAATGAAGATTTAGAAAGTATTATGGAATGTAATAATCCTAAAGAAATGATTAGTGAATTGGACAGAAAATATCGTGGTCCAGGTGCTAAGTCTGCTTGGGAGATATTACGTGATTTCAATACAATCAAGTTTGAAGGCTCGATTCAAGGTTTATTTGCTAAGTTACGGCAATTATTTGCAGCTTTTGCTGATAAAAATATTAAGCTGCCAAGTTATTTTATTAATTCAAAAGTTCGAGCTATTTTACCCGCTGAATATGATGAGATGTGCAAAATGGTTGACATCTATAATGGCGGAAGATCAGAAACTGATTATATGAGTGATAAACAGTTTGAATCCGAATTATTGAGATTCGAGAGAGAGAAAAATTTGAAATTTTCTGCTCAAAATACGTCTTTGGCCGCAACAATTAAATCGAATAATTCTTCTACATTGTTGAACAAGAAGAAATTTAATGGAACTTGCTATTATTGTAAAATTAAAGGTCATATTGAAAAATTTTGCCGAAAGAAAATGAACGATTCTAAAAGTGGTCAACAGAACAATGAAGTCAAACCGAGCAATGAAAATAAACTTGCAAGTTTGAGTGCTGTTGTTAAGATTTCTGATATTGATTGTCATATGAATCAGTTATCTTCGAATGTGTCATCTTCGTTGTCTTTGGTCTCTGTGTCTTCGGTGAAGTTTTTAGCTGATTGTGGTGCGTCCAATCATATTGTGAACGATAGATCGTTGTTATCTAATATTCGTAAAACAAGTCATCAAATTATAACGATGAGTGGTGTGGTCAATGGTCCTGAACAAGGTGATATGAAATGTCAATTGTTTAATGGAAAAAGTTGGGTTCCAATGGTAATAAGAGATGTCTATTACGTAGCTGGCCAACCATTCAATCTTATTGCGATTGGTAAAATTTGTAGACGGGAGAATGTTAGAAGTGTGACAAACAATGATGGTATTACGATTTATCACAAAGAAGTTCCGATTCTTATTGGTGAATGGAGCACAGAATACCTGAACATTATTGAATTACGAATTAGAATTGATGTTTCTTCTTCGAAAAATATTGTGAATGTTGCTGTAAATTCGATGGCTAAATGGCATGAAAGATTTGGTCATTTTTCAACGAATACAATTGGTAAAATGTTCAAACAGAAACTAGTTGATGGCATACCGAATAGTTTAAACAATGATATTGATTATTGTACGCCATGTAAGATTGGAAAGTTGACAGATATTTCGCATCATATTGAATCTGATAATCCACATATTTTGCCTGGTTCGAAGTTGCATTTGGACATTGGTGGTTACACTGATGTTTCTATCCATGGTAATCGATATTTCCTTTTGGCTGTTGATCATAGATCGAGGTTTGTGAAGGTGGCTTTTATGAAGTCTCGTGATCAAACACTTGATAAGTTCAAGTGTATTGTCAATGAAATTAAACTGGAAACCGGAAATAACGTTTTATGCATTCGAACTGACATGGGCACAGAATTTCGTTCTGAGTTGTTTCAGAATTATTTAAGTGGTCATGGAATTATTCATGAAAAAGCATCTGTAAATACACCACAACAGAATGGTCGATGCGAACGTGCTATGCGTACACTGATGGATCACGCAATTTCAATGTTATTATCGACTGATCTACCCCGTTTTTTATGGGATGAAGCTGTTAATTGTTCGGCTTATTTGATGAATCTGGTTTTGAATTCTCGTAATGAAATACCGTATGAAAAGTATTTTGGTATAAAACCTGATGTCTCAAATCTTCGTATTTTTGGTTCGGAAGGCCAAGCTTTGAATAAAAATCGAAATAACAAATTTGATGCTAAATCAAAGTTTGTTCGAATGATTGGATACGAAGGTCAAACAATATATCGTGTTTATGTTTCTGGTGCACGTCGTGTTGAATTATGTTCATCTGTAGATTTCGATGAAAAACCTAAATGTGTTGTTCAGCCCATTGGTTTCGATGTCAACAAATCGACTATAAACAATTGTGAAAGTGAATCAAACACTGTTATTTCTTTTGTTGATTCTCGTGATGATGATGTTCCAAATCAACCTGATTCTAATTTTCGTGGTCCTGGCCGACCAATTGGTGCTAAAAATCGTTTATTCCAACAAAGTGAAGAACGTCTTCAGTCATTACGTGTTCTTCCTGGTCGTTCAATTGTTGGTGTGTGTGTGGCACGCTATGAACCATCTACGTTCAATGAGGCTATTAATAGTGATGAATCAGAAAAATGGCGAGAAGCAATGGATAAAGAATATAATCAATTAATTAAACATCAGACATGGCAGTTAGTTGATAAACCAGATAATGAACCGATTATAACTGTGAAGTGGATCTTTACAATCAAGGACGATGGAAGATACAAAGCCCGTTTGGTGGCTCGTGGTTTTGAGCAATACTCAGATTCTTTAGATATTTATGCTCCTGTTGCTCAAATGGATGTGATTCGTTTATTCTTTTCGCTAGTGGCATCTTGGGATATGGATTTAATACAGTTCGATTGTTCCAATGCTTTTCTCAATGGTGATATTTATGAAACTGTATATATCGATCAACCGTTAGGATATGATGATAAAACTGGACGTGTTTGTCTGTTGAAGAAAGGTTTATATGGTCTTCGACAAAGTCCACGTAGCTGGAATCGGAAGTTTGATGAAGCAATTATATCTTTGGGATTTCGTTCATCAACATTTGATCCTTGTTTATATTTTATTAAGAAGGACAATGAATTTACGATGTTATGTTTATACGTCGACGATGCTCTTTTGGCTTCGAATATACCTGGAAAAGTGAAAAGTTTATTTGAAGAAATTGGTCAGATCTTTGAGATACGTTCGGTCGATTCTTGTAAATATCTTGGCATTAATTATACTAGAAATCATTTATCGAAGACGATCATGCTTTATCAATATGATTATCTCATTGGAAAATTGAAAATGTTTAATATGGCTGATAGCAGAAAAGTTGATACTCCTCTTGCTGCTGGAATCGATCCGTATCAACAATCGTCATCGAATATGGCTTACCCTTATAGACAAGCAATTGGTGCCTTGTTATATCTTTCTTGCAAAACGAGACCAGATATAGCATTTTGTGTTTCTTTGTTGGCACGTTTTGCTGATAAAACAACAGATATTCATGTTAAGATGTTGAAACGTGTGTGGCGATATTTATCTGGCACTAGACATTATGGGATTATACTTGGTGGTGATAATCTGAAATGTGTAGCTTATTCTGATGCTGATTTAGCAGGAGAAAAAGAAAATAATCGAACAACAACTGGTCATATAGTTTTATATGGTGGCCCGATTATATGGAAAACAAAATTGCAGAAATGCGTCATCGACAATACAGCAGAAGCCGAATTCATCTCTGTGTCTGTTTGTTCAAAGGATGTCCGTTTCGTCTTAAATGTTCTCGAAAATTTGGAAATCCTAATCGATAAACCAGTCATTAATTGTGATAATCAAGCTGCGGTGAAACAACTATTGGCTGAGAATATTTCTCTAAAATTGCGACATATCAACATTAAGTTTCTAATGGTTCGTGATTTAATCCAGCGTGGTTTGATGTCTATACAGTGGATATCTTCCGATGCACAGTTGGCGGACGTTTTAACAAAACCGTTAAGTCGAAAGAATCTTATATCTTTTGTCGAGAATTTGCCATTGTATGATTTTGTCAAAACGGGGGAGTGTTGAAGTTGGTTTTTAACAACAATCATACAATCGTAATTGTAATTGAATTTAAATTAATATTCATATATATTTGGAAGCTTATTTGCTTTGAATTTAATTAATTAAAATATTGTTATTCAAGTTTGACTAATTCTTTAATAGTAACCGACAATATGTGTTGTTGAGATAATTTTTCAATTGAAACCATTCACTCGTTGTACAAATGACAAAGAGAGAGAGAGAGAGAGAGAGAGAGAGCATGGAGATGCAATCAATCCATCGATCAATCAAATTATTTTTTTCGAGGCAAAAAAAATGCTTTCATTTATACTCAAAATCGAGTCATGTCAAGTATGTCGACACTAAAAACTCAAGGTTTATTATGATGACTCCCTCGATCGAAATATAAATCAATCAAATATGTCTATGTTCTATTCATGGGTAAATCACATGATTAAATTGATTTTTATTTGATTTGGATTTTGATATTTTGTCAATTTTTTTTCTAATCTAGGTTTAATATATCTGCAGAATCAATAAGCACCAATTGGTACATTTTTTTTATGAGAAATGAATTTTTTTTATTTCTCATAAATATGGAATCAATCATCTGTCAAATAGGGCCCATATTTGAATCCGGTTTCCATATAAAATCAAATTGACGTCAATCAATCAATGATGATCATCATGTTATCACATAGTGTTAAGAGAACTCAAATTGAAAAAAAAATTTTTGAACAAAAGTCAAGTGGAAAACATTTGCTTAAGTATCTATGCATAAAATTTACATATTTAAATGCATATAAGAAATATATCAAATGGATCAATGTACAATATTGAATCAGCCAAATGAAATTGATCAAAGGCTAAATAGTTATAATTGGAAAAAAATTTATTTTTTTGTTTTGTTTGATTGTATAGATTGGAATAATAATAAATTAAATATATATATGAAATTGAAAAAATCAATGTACATCAAATTTGGCTATAATAATAAAGAATAAAGAATATAAAAATCATCATGATAAATTAACAAATAGAATCTCTTTCATTTGTTTGTATATAAAGAATTTTTTTAAAGAATTTAAAGAGAAAAAAAATTAAATAAAAAAAAGTATCATCAACAATAAGATATATAATCATTAAGATATGAAAAAAAAATTTGTTAAACAATTTAATTTCAATTTATTATAATTAATCAATCAGAGGAAAAAAAACCTGTATCTATATGTTGTTGTAATGGATATTTATATGATGTGTGAGCAAATGGAAATGGAAGAACTAGAAAAAAAACTATAAAATAATTAAAAAATTTTAAAACTAGGAAAAAAAAAGATTAAACAATCAAATAAAATCTATAAGAATAGCTATTATAATGGCTGTAAAATGGGTATGTGTGGAAGGGTCAGTAATTGTTTTTTTTTTTTTTTTTTTTGGTTGAATCGTAATTGTAATTTGTTTTTGTAAAACTAACAAAAAAATGGTCAGTGTGTAAAAATGATGATGTGGCCATTTTTTTCATCCTTAAGGTGAATCATCATCATACACACATCATCATCATAATTTATCATTCATCAATAGTTGATGAATCTGGTTGTAATTCATTTGTTGTTGTATTGCAAACTATTGATGTTTCATCATTGCCGTCATCATCATCATCATCATTATTATTATTATTTTTATGATCATCATCAGCATCGGTTTCCATCATTGATTCATTTTTGTTCATTATGTTTTTCATGTTATTATTCAATAACAATTTATTACCATTATTGGATTTAATCAATGATGATGATGATGATTCATTATTTGTTCGATTTTTAAATTTTTTAACACGAACAAAATTATTTTTTGAATTCGATGCAATAGGTGAGGAATTGGATGATGATGAAGAGGAACTTATTATGTTAATGTTAATTACATTACTATTCAAAACATTTGATTGATGATGACGATGATTATTATGATTGCTAATGTTTGTATTCGACTGATAACTACCACCAATTTTTACAGCCGATGATGATGAATTTGTTGAACCAGAATTTTTGAATAATTTTTTCTTCACATTCATCATCATTGATGGATTTTGTGCAGAATAATGATGAATATTCGATGATGATGATGATGATGTATGACCGGTATTGACTGATGGTGGCGGTACCGACATTGATCGTTGATGATGTTGTTGATACATAGTTAAGTTGGAAGCTAAGCAAAATATAAAGAAAAAACACGATCACATTATAAAGATTCATAAACACACAAACACATACATTACTTACAATTATGATTATGCCATTTTGATGATGATGATTTTGTTTGTGATGGCTGATGTAAAAGGCCAGCCTGTGGATGATGATTTTGATGCTGATGATGGGGATGTGAAATAGCTCTATATGGTATTGTAGCTGAATTAATTTTTGCTGGAATTTTATTCTGTAAATTATGATGATAATTATGAGGATTATAGTGTTGTTGTTGTTGTTGATATACGCTATCATTATTATTATTATTATTAATACCAGGACTAGATAATGATGACGGTATATTGTGATGCGGAACATGAGCTGCTTGTCCAATTGAACCTGAATAAAATTGAGCCGAAGAATTTGTTGCTTGAATATTGTTTGAAAGTGATCGTCCAGTTTGTGGATAAACGATTCGAAAACAATATCCAGGATAAGGTGATGACGGTTGCGACATTGATGATGCAGTACAATTGGCAGTGTTAGGTGTTATATTATTATTATTATTCGTTATGTTTGATCCATGTTGTAATAAAGCTCTGTTGTTGTTAGCTGTAGTCTGATGATGATAATTATTATTGCTACGATTACTTAATACCGGAACTTTTGATCCACCACAATGAGCAACATTAGTAGTGTTTGTTGGTGTTGGCAGCAAAGCAATACCATTATTATTACGATTTGATTGTTGTTGATGATGATGGCTAGTGAGAATCGATGTCTTCTTTTTTGAAGATGATGAAACACCGAGTTTATTATTATTATGGCAAGGAATAATACCTTGATGGTTCCCTTTATAACCAGATTTATTCACAGATGATGAATTTGTTTTGGCAGAAATCATTGATGGCACATTTGGCTGCTGAATGTTACTATTATGTTTGATGATGGTATTTAGATGTTTTTCAATTGATAAATTCGATGCCGATCTATGATTTATAGTTTGTTGTTCATGATGTTTCGGGGATTTTCGTTTTTTGGGACTACAATGTAATGAATTGAGATTTGAAGATTTAATGCTGTTAAGGCTATTTCTATTATTACCAGTTGGCAATGAAGATTCTGCAACTGTTGTATGGCTTATAGAACTCAATTCATTCGAATCAGCAACCAATTCATCAACGTTGGCAAGATAAATCAATCCACGGCTTGTAATCGACGGTGATGATGATGATGATGGCGATTCAGCCTCCGCTGATTGATTATTGGCAGTGTCCAATGATGATGTTGTGGTTGTATCGATTGTTGGAGATGATAATGTCGAGGATGTAGCTGAATCATCGGTAATTAATACCGATGAATCATTAACTAGATCAATACCTTCATCTTCTTCTGGTAATAATTCAGGTGTACGTTCTATTACTTGTTTTAAAATACCACCATCATCCTTTTCCTTCGCCACTAGATAAGAAGAGTTCACATCATTCTCAACCGATAACATCAATTCGTTTATCAATTCGATTACACTTGAATCAATTGATGTTATTGAAGGCGTAGGCGATGGAATCATTTCATCACGTTGTTGTAGTTGTTTACGTGGTTTTTTTCGTTTATTACGTAATTGATAATAATTAAGGCTAAAATCCAGTCTTATATCATCGACTAATGTATACACCTTATGTAATTCTTCCAATACAATACGATCCTGTTCATATTGCCGGCGTAGATATAGCTGTTCGGATGTAAAATAAGCTATTGAATTATAGCTATTTAGATCATTGTGATCCGATATAATCGTAGCGTTGTCCATATATGTATCATAATAATCCATTATCATCTCAGTCAGTTGATGATGTGAATGATCACTATCACTACCACCACCAGCAGAAATGTTAAGACCAACAGTCATATTAGTTTTAGGAATGCAACAATCATTGATCGATGTGATTGGTATTTGATGTAAGTGATTCACCACCCAATGATTAGCACATTGTAACAATGTATAAAGGACAATACAAGCACTAGTACGAATGGTTGACACACGATCTTTAGTGGCTAATTCGGTGAGCTGATGTAATAATCGATAACGTTGTATCATTAACATTGCAAAAAATTGTGATGAATGTAATTCCTTAAGATTCAGTCGATATCGTTTCGAGAATCGATATGATAATTCTGACCAATCCATTAACGATGGACAATGTTCTACTAGATCGACCAGATAATGATTTGGCAATGATTCGCGCCATTCAATTGAATCACGAAATAAAAGCCGTACAAATATGGCTAACATATCTACATATATTTGACGATCCTGATATCGTTGCGATTGTTTTAGATTACGATCTAACCAATTAAATAAATCAAATGATAAATAGGCAGTTTGTGATAAATCATCAAAACGTAAAGGGTAAGATGTCATCATTTGATTAGATGGGCTAGTGCGTGTGCTATTATTGGCAGTGTTCACTGTCGATTGTTGACCATTATTGGAACAATACTTTTCAAAATCATGTTGAGCAAAATTTTCCAAATAGACCATTATAAGACAACGAGCAATTGCTTGTCGACAAGGTATTGGACGCTATTAAATGATATAAATAAATAATTTGATTAAATAACAAAAAATCACAAATACAAACCGTTGTACTAAATCGTAATAATAATCGTGGAATTATTAATCGTTTAACAACATCAACCGGTATAATACGTGATAGACGAAACATGACATCAAAATATTGGATATGTAGACGCCATTTTGGTTTCGTACTTAGATACGTTTCCGAACGCATGAATGTATCAACCACATATTCAATAATCGTATCCGTCTATGATGATAAAATGAATAAATTTTACATTAGATAAAAATTTCAAATAATAAAAAGTGATACCTGAGCAGTAATTTGTGATGAACTCAACATGGATGTAAATACATGAACAAAATTACGAATTATCTGTGCGATGACATCGAAATTCTGTGATTGTAATATATTGGTTAACAGCGAATATAACCGTATTGGTTCGGTAAAACGTTCAACCAATTTTTCAATAATATTTGACATCTTCATTGCTATTTCGTAATTATTATCAATCGATAATGTATTCAATATGTCAATCAAACGTGATTCAATCAATTCTTTTTCTTGACGTTCAATTTTCAATGATTCAGAACCTGATTCGGATGATATTGAATGATCGGTTATATCTTCTTCTTCGTCTTTGATTGATTCGTTGTTGTTTGATGATGACAATGAAACCGGAACCGGCAATCGTGATGGTTGTCCTGATTTAAGTCTTAGACTTTTTCTTGATCGTAACTGCAGATGATGAGCTGTTGGTTTCGTTGATTGCTTACCCGATAATAGATTGGAATTTTTCGCTATATCATATAAGTCGGAAATTGCCTAGAATTCGAAAATAATAATGAAATAAAAATCAAAACAATAGCAACAATTAATTTGATTTGATTCGATTCATAATCATCATCATAATTAAACTTACCGGAACTAATGAGACTAATATTATTTTGCAGGCAATCGTTTTATAACGAAAAAAACCAAATATATCCAAATTATTCAATGCATTCGATGTGAATGTATATTGTGTTGAGCCAATACTAAAATCATTATTCTGTATGGTTACATTTGTAGCCACAGTTGCCGCTACCGATGTACTACTACCGGAATTTGTTTCAAAATTTAATTGCTGTTGTAAATGTTGTTGTAGAATCGAAGTTGTTGCCGGGGAGGATGATGACGACGACAATGATTGTGATGGTGGTTGTGGTAATGGTGATATCGATATCGGTGGTGATGGTAATGTTTTCATATTCATTATATTACCATCAACATTTGTAACTTGATATCTGCCGATAAAATTTTGTTGTTGTTGTTGTTGTTGCTGCTGCTGCTGTTGCGTTGATAATGATGATTGAGCCATAGTTGTATTGTTGTTGGAATTATTTTTACCCAAATCCATGAGATTAATTTTGGTTAAAATTGAATTTGTCGATTGATCAATCAAAGTGGACGGTGGTGGTTGAATCGAATAAGAAGATGATACATCATTCATAGACAATGTTTTCGCCGGATGAGATGATGATGATGACGACTGTGGTGTTGGTGTTGGAAGAACATAATGAAATGCACAAAGACGATAATAAAAATCAAGATACCAATGATCACGATCAATCATTTCGGTCATAAATTGTCGATCATTTGAATCACAGTGATTATTATTATTATTTCCATTAGAATTATTATTATTCACATAATCACGTAAAATGAGTATGAAAAGTACTAGGCTTTGGTAATGTGAAAATAATGTTTGTGTGATTGAATCGTGTGTACCAATTTGATCACGCCAATGTAGAAAACAATTGAATAAATCTTGTTCAATTTTAATCGACATTGACCGATATTGATCAATAAAATCTAACATTCTTTGAAGGGTTTTTTTCAATAATGGTATGAATCGATGAAGAATAAATTTCAATACATTATTATTCATATTACTGGAATCATGATGTTGTTCATCTGGCGAAGAATTTGATTCATTTAATGGATCACACTGTTCGATGGTATGATAATCATCATTATTATTTGTAGTATTATCAAACATTTTCACCATTGTTTCACCATCATCTTCGTCGTTATCACAAGAATCAGTGGATTTGTTCTTTGGTTTTTTCATTGAAATCTGATTAAAATGAAGTAAATAAGATAACAGCGATGTCAATGAATCAAGTAATGCAAAACAAATTGTTGTTGATGTACAAAGTGAATAATGTTGTTGCTGTTGTTGTTGAGAATTCGAATTATAATTGTCCAATGCAATGATTGATAATTTTTCAAACAATGGAAAAATATTCGATTCAAAATATTCGAATTCAACACGTCTTGCATAATTGGCTAATACAAAACAAAACGTAAATCGTACCGATGTTGTTTGTTCGTATGTAATTAATTCACTAAGCAATGGCATCACTTTTGTTTCAATTGTATCCATTGTAAGACAATCATGTATATTGAGCAATAATTGACAGGCAAATACTCGTCGGTCGGTTTGTGGCATTGATAATGAACTGATTGCAATGTTTAAAATATCCATAAGTAAATCTTGATCAGAATTCGATACCAAACGATTCGGATTGCTTGCCATACTGGTGGTTTTATCTAAATCATTATTAATTTGATGATTGATTATTGTATCATTATTGTTTTGCATAATAACTGTTGCTGGATGATCAATCATATTGCTGGTGTTGGTTCCAAATGATGATGAACAATCGGTTGATGTTGACGATGTCGAATGCTGTAACACATATGTAGGTATATTTAATTCGGAAAAATTTTTCGTAAAATCCAATAAAAGATTTGGCCATATTTTCTCTACAAAATGGAACAAATTTTCGATTAATCGAAACAAATGAAAAAAAATGACAAAATATTTACCGGTACTTGTATTAATCTGTGTAATTATCTGTCGCATAAAATCTTCCAAACGAAGACGTTTTTTTTCATCATTTTGAGCATTATATAATGATGCTGTTGACGTTTTTGTTTCATCTTGATCATTAACATCACCATCATCGTGATTATCATCATCATGATCCATGATAAGATCGGTATTTGGAATCATAAATTTCGTATGATCACCATCATCATCATCATCTTGGTCATCATCAATTTCATCTTCTGGTTCACAAATAAATGGATCATTATCAGTATGTTTAGAATTTAAAAATATTGTCGTCGTTTTCATCATTGGCAATGGTAATGATGATGATGGTGATAATCGTACATTCGGTGGATTAGTTATTTCCTGTATAAATAATAATTGATCATTTGTTTTGGTTGTGGTGGTGGTGGTTGTTGTTTCTTCCTCTTCATCATCATCATCATCATCAATGATTGTCGGTAATTCAAATTCAACAATTTTTGTACAAATTTTTTCATCATCATCATCATCATCAACATTATCACTTTTTGTTGGTTTCATATGATCATCATGACTAGTGGTGATTGATTGTTCTATTAATTGATTATCATTATCATTGTTTGTTGATTCCATTTCCATCATATCCATTATCTTCATCATAATCATCAATCGATTATCATTCTAATTGTTGACATTATTATTATTATTATCATATATGACTGTAAATTGAAACGGAAATTGTAAAATAAACAACAAACAAACGAAAAAAAAATTAATTAATTATTCTTGTTCAATCATAACAGATTTTAGTTTTGTTAGTTAAGACAAATAACAAAAAAAAACAGATAGGCGAGCAAACGAGCCAAGAGATAAAAAGAGACGGGATAGAGAGAGAAATAAAAACAACAACAAACAACAACAACAACGAAGACAATAAATGGTCAGCAAAACAACGTTATAACATTGGTCGATGACATAGTTATCATCATCATCAAAAGAAGACGAATAGCTCTCTCTCTCTCTCTCCCTCTATCTAACTCTATTAATATGACGCTTCATAATTTAGACCAAAAAAAAAAAAAATTCACAAAACAGCATAAAATCGTAAAATGATTGTGGCTACAAAGAACAACAAAAAAAATGATGATGATTGCCTGTTGTTGCTGGTTGTTGGAAGAGAAAAAAAAACATAACGTTAGAATTAAAATAATAATAATATAAAAGGAAATCATTTAAAGCCAAAGCAAAAAAAAGATTGAGAAAATGATTTCAAAAAAAAAAAATTGAAAGAGTATAATGTAATGGAATAAATGACGACGATGGAAATAAAAAAAAAACTTTGCTGCAACAGAAGAAAAAAAAACCTGTTTGATCGATGTTTATTATTATTATTATTTATTACGCCACAATTGAATGAACAAACGAAAGAATTACCGTTTGTCGCCGTAGCAGCAGCAATAGCAATAGTAACGATTTGTTTTTTTTTATTTTGAAGCCAATCAAAACAATGAACATCGTCAAAATCAAAATTCAGGTTTATTACATGAATTTTTTTTTATTTTGTTTTTCATCATTTTTGAATCGATCGAAATTAAAACTTGTATATATAATAATTTGACACACAGAGATCTCGTTTTTTTTGCTGTTTGACAAGATAAAAAAAAGACGATTCGATGATGAGCGAATCGTGATTGTTTTGTTTTTTCTTTGGATTTTAAGAAATAATATAAAATGAATGAATGAATAAATCTTGTTTGTTTGTTTCGAATGTCAAGTTCCGTTACCTCTACTTCTATCACTTTTTTTTTTGTTTCGTTTTTTTTATGCTTTTACTATGAAAAAAAAATTGCTCTCATTTTTAGCTTGATCAATGTTGTTGTTCATGAAAATTGAAAACATTTATTTATATTTACCTGAATAGTTATTAAGTTTTTTTTTTACTCTGAGCAACCAGGTTAGGTTAGTTTTTCAATAAAATAATGATGATTTATATATGACGTTGATTACGGTTGACGACCTTTTTTTCATTAAATAACTGGTTGAATACATATCATACAAATAGACACACACACACACACACAAAAAAAAAAACATTCAATTTGATCATCATCATGATCGAGGAAATCCGCCTGATCAATCACCATTACATTATACAATCATATTGATTTGTTGTTGATTTTTCAATTAAATTATTTTTTTTTTTTAGAAAAAAAAATAATCTGACGTTATTCGTAAATAAAATTCACACACACACACACACCAACACGAAAAACGAGAGAAAAAATGTGGTGAAAAAAAATGAAAACAAAAACAAAAAAAAATTAGAATGAAAAAAAAAATTGGCACATTAACCGAACCGTACGTAGAGGATGTTACGCAAGGAAATAAAATTGAAAAAAAAACATTCTCAAATTCATTTGATATTCTGATCATTTTATTCACATACACACACACACACATAACAATCTCTCATAGGTTCGAATATATGCTGTGAACAAGTTGATTTGTTTTCAAATTCTTACGTAAAATTGTTTTTTCTTGTAGAAACAAAGAAAATTTCGCTCAAGATGCGCGCCTAAATGAAATAAAAAATTTTAAAGGTAAAAAAAAAAATTCGGACCTATTCGGGTGAAAATAGTGTCGAGCAGAAGAATTTTTTTTTTTTTTAGTTTTGGATTCTTATTTTTTACGTAACACTCATACATGTGAATGGATTATTTGTGTTTTGATTTGATTTTATTTTCTTGTTCTGATTATAAACGATATATATCAAGAATTTATCATCAAAATTGATCAATATCATTTCGATAATGTAATCAATATGTTTAATCATCCAAAAAAATGATCGTCTAATAACAAGCTTTTATTACGTAATCACATCGTAATTGTGCCAATTCGGTCATCATTCGCATGGTTCAAAGGTGGTGAAAGTTAAAAGAATTACCTAATCAATCACGTTTATCATCATGATGTATGTGATGAAAATATCATTGAAGAATAATCGATTCGAATACATGTGCCAAAATCATCTTTTCTTCGCCCGAAAGAAAATACTCATTCATAAGTTTTCAATACAAAATTTGACTTTGAAGAAAGATGAAAATGTTTCTCAATAATGTTAACATATTTTTATGTAGACATTTATTTCTATTTGTAAGTATGATCAAATTTGATGAATGATTTTTTGTTTTAGATTAACAGGTATTTTTCTTTCTTTTGTGTTCCACAGGCAACATTATTATTATTATTAGCTATAATCATATCGAATATGGAATGTCGACGTATGATCGATAAAGAATGTCTTGTATGTGTGTTCTTTTAAATTGATTGATTGGTACTGTGTAATGTTATTTATTGAAAGTTTTCATTTTTATTTCTTTCTCATATATAGCAATGTGATAAGAATGAGTCATTTTCATTTTTCTGGAAAATTGAACGCTCAAAACCATCACCACCATCTTATTTTTTCGGTACAATACATGCACCATATACAAAAGTATGGAATTATGTACCAAGTAAAGCAAAATCAGCATTTCGTCATAGCCAACATATTATTTTCGAATTAGATCTAATGAATGCAGAAACATTATTATCATTAACACAATGTCAACTATTACCACCTGGCATTCGTCTTAGTGATATAATACCGATTGATCTTTATCATCGGTTACAACGACATCTACGTTATGTTAAATTTAAAATGTCTCATTGGATTACTCAGGAACAAAAATCACGTGGCCTTAACTCCAATACATTATATACGGCCATTACATTGAATTGGGAACGTAAACGTCCGATATGGGTGATGATCATGTTAAATTCATTGACCGAAAATGATATAAAATCTAAAGGTATAACCGTATTGGATTCATTTTTCTATCAAAAAGCAAAAAAATTGAAAAAATCTATCGGATCAGTGGAAAATGTAAGTGGTGTTTGTGTGTGTTTTTCAGAATCTAATTTCTAATTAAATTTTTACTTTTTGTTTTTCTGTATCTTAGGCCAAAGAACAATGTAAAACATTAAATTATCTAAATACAACACAGGTATTATATGCATTGAATCAAACATTATTACAACATGAACATATACGTCGTGGTTATTTACGTTCAAATCATACAACCGATGATATGATACGTCATTATAATTGTGGTAATCTTAATGAAGCACTTTTCAATGAAGATTCAGCAAATGTAATTATAATGCTTTGATAATGTTGATGATGATAATCTTAGTGTGGTTGTGAATATTTTATTTTCTATGTTTAAAATAATCTTTTTCTTTACAGATTCCAATACTTAAAAATCGTTCATCATCAACATTATCATCATCGATATCATCTGGCAATAATGATGAAGACGATGATAATGAATCATTTTCGAAAAATATTGAAAATTATTTCCGTTTCGAAATCATATTGAAACGAAATAAACGTATGAGTCAACGTGTATTAGAACTATTGAAATCAAATCCAAAAGAAAGTTTCTTTTTTGTATTTGGTGCCGGTTAGTATTCATATACTCAATAATATATTACTCGTTCCAAATTATTCAAAATCTTTGCCAATCTTGGATTGATTGATTTGCATAAATTAATAAAACTTTTTCTTTGAATAACTTTCAATCTTTTTTTTTGTCATTTCCATATTTTTAATTTTGTTTCTTTTTTCTCATTCCCATTCTTTTGGATTTCCTGTGTTATTTTTATTTACGAACCAACAACCTACACTTTTACAAAAATAAAATGGCCATCGGTTATTGTTATTCAAGGCCATTTTCTTGGTAATGATTCAATAATCGAACTGATGAAAGATCATAATGGACTTGAAATTGTACATATTAATGATGATCGACAACAAAAACAATCATTGTAAGTATATAATTCCATTCAATTCTGTTGATGAAGTGTTTCCATCTTTTTTTTTCATCGTTGATTAATCCATCATTTTGTCATTTATGAATTATAAATTTTATGATAAAGGATTTGTGATCCTACCATTACCACAACAAAAACAACAACATCAATATCATCTAATGTTGAATCATCGTCTGGCCGCCGAACTAAATTTATGAATAATGGAGCGCATGTTATTAATCAACATGATCAACAACAACAATCCGAAGAGACATTAATCTATCCTATTTCATCTGAATCGATACATCGTTTACCATCATCATGGTTCCATCATTATCATCATCCACCGTTATCGAAAACAACAAATTGGAAATCCATAGATCCTATTAGATCATCATACTTACCGGCAACTAATGTGTTGTTTAAAGATTCAAATCAAAAGATTCAATGGCCGATGATGAATATGGTCAGTAGTAGCAGCAGCAGTAACATCAATTGGAATAAAGATTCGAATCAATATCCAGCATCATATAATACTCACAATGATAATAATAATAATCAAGCAATGTTGATGACGATGATGATGATGAGACAATCGAATAATCAGCTGCATCCGCAACAGCAACATTCATTCGGTGATATTCGTTATCCAATTGCTGCTTCTGCTGCTATTCCCAAAACCAACAACAATGATTTATCATCATTATTTTACAATAATAATAATATTCATCATCAATGGCCTAATCATAATCAAAAGTAAGTGTCAATATTCCATTAATAAGTTCTACTTATTAATTATGTATTGCGAAATTACCATCCATCTAATGACCAACCAACCAAACATACAAACATAGAGATACACAAGGGTGCTATGGTCAAGCGGACATATCAGTTTCTATCAGTATGTTGTATTAGCATAAATTAGATATTAAGAATGATGGCCATGTGCTTATGTTTGAACTAGTAACATGTGTATGTTTCGGTGTGTGTGTATATATCGATCCAATTACATTTATTGGCCGGCGATAAGATTTATGCCAAATGATGATTTGATGATGATGATATGAGATGGTGAGGGTTCATTTTTTTTGCATTTATAATTGATGATCCAGGAGCAAGAAAGTACGAAGAATATGTGTGTCTGTGTTTATAGAATCTTTTGGTTTAGAATACATAGATACGATGACAAACATATATTGACATTGCCATTGGATATATATGAGTATTTTATGAAATGTAGTTTGTAATAATAATGACAGCAGAATATAATCAATTTGTCAAATTCATTCCATTCTTATGGGTTCATGATTCAATATTTACCTTTTTCATTCATTTTTGTTGTTGTTTTTTTTCTTTTGTTTGTATGTACGATGATATGATACCAGTCAGACAAATATGATGATGGACATAATATTACCATCCACACGACATCGATTCGATCACCATCACCCTCATCATCATCATCATCGAACCCGATCAAATAATGATTATCAATATCATCAATTGATTAATAATAAATTGATCAATACAAAATTATTTGCCGGTTTAGTGGAATCAAATCTTGGTCAAGTTGATATACGTCCAGCATCATCATCATATTCGATCACCAATATATCATATAATGGTTGTCGTTGTTGTATATTGATCATTTTCAGCTATCATCCAATAATCTTCATCACCATTTTCATTTCAATACGAGCTTTATCAATCATTTGATCCATTCTCTATCATATAATACTCCTATTATTTTTTTTTTTGTTTCCTGTTTATCTTACGTTGTTGTTGTTATGAAATGGATGCAAAAAAAAAACAAAAACCCTGGAAAAAACAATAACTACAACAAAGCAACAACAAAAAAAAAGAAGATAAAATACATATGTATTGTGATAAATATATATATTATATATTGAAATTTTAAATTTTAAAAGTTACTTACTTGTGAATAAATAAATAATTTTCATTTATAACCTGTGGTCTTATAAATCAATCATTTGTTTAATCAATCGATATCATCATCATCATCATCATCATGATTTAATAATGACAAATTGTCAATTGAAATGAAAATGAAATGAACAGTAAAAAAAAAATTTCTAAATCTGTCATTCAAACAATTGTTTATGGCATCATCAATATCCCACACACCATACTTTATGAATGAATGATGAAAATTTCATCAAATGAACCAGCCAGCCTCCCCACTACTTACTATTACCCTCCACACACAAACAAAACGAATGATATCCAAATTTAGTAGTAAACCAGATTTAATCTAATAGAAAATTGAAATCTTTGATGCCATTCACACACACACATACACACTTTATTATTATTATGTGAGTATGTGATGATAAGCAACAAAGTTTGTCACACTATATCTCACAAACCTATTATTATTATGATGATGATGATGTAATAAAATAATCAAAAACGTTCCTTTCAATGATTCATTTTGATTCGAATGTCAAATTGTTGGCGTTTCGTGTGTGTTTAGAGCAAAAAAAAAAAAAAAAAATAGAATCGAATCGAATGAAATAAAAAAAAAAGAAAGAATCCAACAATATCTTGTGGTTTGGCTGGTTGGTTGGTTGGTTGGTTGTTGACTTAAACAAACACCCCAACAACAACAACAACGGAAAAAAACTAATTGATGGTTCATTTCGCAGTTGGAAAATTTGGTATTTAGGATGCCATGATTCAATATGAACGCGTGTGTGCCTGTGTGTACTTTTTAACTAATAAATGACAATAAAATGAAAATGAAAATCAAGTAAAAAAAAAAATCTGATTATCGGTTGATTGTGTGATATATTACTTGATTATATGTAGAGATTAAAGTGTGCATATATCATCGTCATCTTCATCAATAAAAAAAAACCTGGATAATAGATATTGAACCGATGGTGATGTGATGATTAAAACAGCCACAAAATTCTTTTTTTTTCGATTCATCATCGATGATATGATCACAAACACCTAATCATCATAAAATTTAGAATTATTAAACAGTGAGATTTGTTGTTGTTGTTGTTGTTGTTGTTCAAAATGTCGTCGAATCTGTTGTTGTACTTGCTTGCTATCTTTCCATCTCTCAGCTGGATATTATTTGGTGCGTTTATAATCATTACCTTGGATTGTAGAACTCTTTTTTTTGTGGTGGGGGTGGTGATGGTGGTTTTTCATCATTTCATCGCCCTCATCCAACCAACCATCCAACCACCCATCACCGTCATACAGAATCAATAAATTGCAGAGAGAGAGAGAGAGAATTGAATATTGTAAATGAATTAAATTAGCTCATCATCGTATAAGAGCAGATCGGTAGTATTCGTTCGTATTGGAACTTTATTTGGAATTGAATCACAAAAACCAAAAAAAAAATTCTTAGATTGATGGGGTTTGATCTGATTTTGGGCAAAATGTGATTTGATTAAATCCTACAAATGATGACGATGATGATGATGATGAAGTTGTTGGATTGTACTTCAATTTTTTTTTCATTCGTTTCGTTTCTTTTAAAGAATCAAATAAGATACGTGCTCTTATTATTATTATTATGAAAAGGTTATTTTTACTTTGACATAAATATAGATAGAAAGTAAGAATGAAGAGAGAGAGAGTTAGAATTTTTTTTCTTGTTCTTTTTTTTCTGTACAAACATAAACCGTATTTCATTCATTAACAAAACGATGATGAGAATCAATCTAAATCAATCAGTTTTTGTTTTTCTTATTATTTTAGGGTTTTTTTTTGGGAGAAAAGATGACACACACAAACACATCATTGTACACGCTAATTGCTTTTTTTTTTTGTTTCTTCGATTCATCATCATTGCCATTTGAGGATGGTGTATACAATAATCCGTTATTTGAATTCAAACATTAAAAGTAAAAGAAAAAAAATTCGAATTTCATTCAAATTTTCATTCAAACATTTCATTCTTTTTTCAAGTAGGATAATACATACATAGACAGAGAAAAGAAAAACAAGCTAATTAGAATATTTAACCATTTAAATTTCATTGTTATCCTGACGATCATCATGATTATTGTTGTAGTTGTTGTTGTTGTTGTTGTTGATGATGGTGGTAATTAGTTAAAATGGCTGGTGGCTTTGACTAGATTTTTTTTCTTGGAATCTTTATTTTTGATTAGTAGTAGATTTCTCAGTGGAAAATTCTTTGAAAAAAAATCTTACAAATGATCATCATTTGTATCGAGATTAGTATTCCAAGCGATTCAGAAATGGGAAAAAAAAATTCCAGGGTGTTGTCCATCATCATTGCAATCATTACTGGCTATAAAAATTGACAATGATAATACATTTTTTTTTGTTTACAATTGAATCAACACGCTTACACATTCAATATTCTGTATCGTGAAAATGTTCAGATCAATTTCAACTCCATCATCATCATCATTTGGAAAGTTTTTCTTTTGTTACTGTTGTTGTTGTTGTTGTTGTTGTTTACTCAACAGCAGTGTTTTGTATTCATAATGATCAATTTTTCATTCATTCATCTCTACTATTCGATTCGATTCAATGTTTGACAATCGATCAATTCCACATTTACATTTAATCTTTTTTGACCAATCAATTGAGTCATTGTAAAGTTGATATTTTGTTGACAGATAAAAAAGACTTCAAACAAACAAACAAAAAAAAATTAAATCCAATGAAGATAAAGGTCATCGAAAAAAAAATTTCAAAAATTTTTTTTCTTGTACCTGGAAAAGTGATTTTTTTTTCGGTCATGCTTTCCACTTTCAGTTATTAACAATTTTTTTTTGTTTTTTATTGAAATCATAAGCTCTTGATTTGATTTGAGAGTGGATTCGAATTTTTTTTTTTTTTTTTTTTTTTTGATTTGAAAATTTCGAATCCCAAATGGGAAAGGAGAAAGATGATAAAAAAAGCAGCAACCTTCATGGGGGTGTGTATGTAAATCGAAATCAAAAAAAAAATTATTCGATTTATCGATTTATCGACACAGAAAGAGGAAAAAATTTTCATAATCAAAAAAAAAAAAAAATAAATAAATAAACAGAACATACAAACACATAAATCGATGGATGAGAATATGAAAAAAATTGTCCCAAGAGATAAAAGAAAAGGAGAGAATGGGAAAAAAATGACAAATCATTGGGATTAAATCAATGACATACCGGAATTAATGTGAATGAAATTTGTTGTTAGCATCAACGATGATTGATAAATCAATCAAACATTTCATAACATCATCAGTTGTGGATTATTGTGATTTCTATCTATTGGTGGATTATCCTCTCATGGTGATGACGATGATGATGATTTTGATTGTATCAATCGATTTGATTGATTATTCTGTTGTTGTTGAATGTGATCGTGATGATGATGATGATGAGTAATAGATAAATTAATAAACGAATATGTTGCAACTGGTTTAAGATCGATGACGTGTATTCTCAAGCAATAACAATCCATTTTTGATTATTTAATTATTTTTATTTTTTGTTTATCCACTGTTACTAGATTGAGAATACACACTATCGGTCCACCACAACCACCACCACCACCAGCATTCATTATCATCATCTTATAATAATCAAGAATCATCCGAACAAAAATTCAGTGGTATTCGAAAAGATTTTCAATATTTCATCGATAACCTAATTTTTAAGAAAAAATGGAAAAAAAATCTGAAAGATTATTGGTGAAAGGATACTTACCAAAAGAATAATTCCAAGAAATTTAAACGAAAAAAAAAAATATTCGAATTCGAATAAATCCGGTAACGATGATGATGATGATGGCGACGACGATTATTGTGATTACACACACACATACATACACATAACCAGATCATAATCATGACACATTCACGTGACATTCATGATAAAGTTTAAAGTTGAATGGTGATGTAAATCATACATACAACCACAACACATCAAACATATAATGGAAATACACGAAACAGAATATATTGTGAACGGAAAACGGAACCACCAAAAAAAAACAAACAAAAAAAAACGATACAACACACAAATAAGCTATGTAGAAACATTAAATCGAAAAAAAATAACGTAACTTTACCAAAAATGACCAAAGAAAAATAAAACGATTATTACACACAGATACACGCACATCTATCTGTTGAACCCGACGACAACGACGACGACGAAAAATGAAAACGGGATATGAAAATGGATTATTTGTTTCAATAAATGATGAAGCTTATACTTACAATTTTTCTATTACCCGCCATAGCCATTATCATCATCATCATCATCATCATCATTACCATTCAGATATATTCGCTGTTGCTTGCTTACTTTCACTTGTTTCACTGCTATAGGATAGGATAATCGCACTGTTGGATACTCCCGTTATTTGGTTTTTTCTATTTTTTTTTCATTTGATAGATTTAGGTTCCAGCCTTTTTTCTCGTCGTCGTCGTCGTCGTTGTTGTTGCATATATTCGAGATTCCAATATATACCGCATACACAAACACACAACATGATAATATATTTGAAATTTGAATCAATCCAATCGGTCGGTCGGTTGGTCGGTCTGTCTGTACAGAAATTCGAACCAGAAACAGAATTTTAAAAAACTGAGCATGTGTGTAAATCGAGAATTTATGGTGTAACAACATCACATCAATGAATAGAACGACAACTGGCGTTCTGGATGTGTGTGTGTGTTTTACTTTATTCGTCATTGATTCAATTCGTCATCAGGGGGCCATCATCATCATCATGTACCGATAATCGATCCTGGAACACATACACACACACACACAGACACACATGGGGTAAGATTCATCTATCTGATAA